TGTACGGTCTGTCAAAAATATTACACCCTTATCCATAACTTTCTTGTCTGTGACTTCACAATGTACCTAACCTGCAATGTGTAACATATCCTCGGATGCACTATGTGCCGCTCAAAAAAGATACTGCGGAAGTGGTATGATGATGTATACGGGCCTCATACACATCAATCGTCGGAGAAACACATTTTTAAGGTTACGATAGTCGTCTCTGTTGAGAGCTAGCGTTAATTTGGCTGTTCTGAGCTTGAAACATTTATAATGTACGTCTGGCTATTGATGGCATTTTTTTCATTTTATTGCGAATTTCCTTATGGCCCTTCTTTCGAATATGCAGCGCAGCGATGACCGTGAAACATATTAAATCCCTAAGAATACCAACCTACAAATAACCATTATAGAGGTGATGTCTAACGGCTTTCATAACAATTATTTTGCGCGCCAGAACATAGCAAGTCTTTCCTATCTACTGTGTAAAGAAAAGTATGAAACTGCGTATATTCAATGGGGAAATGTCTAAATTATCATTAGAAAATGATATAGTATCTTGCAATGATCTACTTTACTATTGAATGGATGAATATTAGATGATTGTGTGATGATTCACTGTTTATTTTTATTTAATCTCGTCGTCCATTATAAGTTTATGTGTTCAAACTCTCCATAACCAATTGAAATCGGTAATTTCATGAATTGACGGGAATATCTAAAGTACTCTGCCATACACATAGTTCTACTTACTACATTAAAAAGGGTAAAAACACCTCAGTTAGTTGTATCACTTTATATATTGAAAAACCGTTCTGCATTAGTTTCCACTTTTAATATCTACTTAGTGTTAACTAAATGTAGAACATACTGTTGCTATCAATCTAATTTATTTAGATTTTCCAGATCTTCAACATTATAAGGAGGTCATTATGTGTACCTCACTGTTATTACGTGTGTGTGTGTACTAGTGGGTCTGTGAAATGTGGCATTTGCAATATAATACAGTGAAGTGAGAATTTGTGTGTGTGTGTGTTTATTTTGATTGTTTTATGAACAAACTGGCACATGTGATTGTGTGAATTTCACAATATTTTTTCGATCATTTCATTTAAACCGTTCGGACGACCTATACAGATGTATGAAATCAGGTAACGGAGAAGTGGAAAACCAGCATGTCAGTGTAGAGCAGAGCATCTCACATGCACTAGAGTCTGCATTAATGTCACTTCCTCAAGCTCATCAATGAACTCAATTTACAGACAGTGTCATTCGATCAGTGATGATGATTTATAAATAGAAACATTGGACTGAAATCATTTTGAAATGAGCTGTTAAAATTATGATTGGTGTATCAGAAAGATAGATGTCACCGAATTGTCTTAGTTTTCTGTGCTACATTTCGTCAAAGATGAATTCCATGATCCGCATTTGCTGAAATCTACCTAACCAGATATCTCGAGTAAAATAACTGAGATGTGAGTATATATCTGGAGACGTATTACGCTTATGGGTACCCATTGACTCATGTAGACATGGACACAAGGTTGACTTATTGAAACAGACGATATACATACTCATTTACATACTCAATCACTCACACACAGCAAGAGAATCACACTTGCACTCCTCAGTCATATCACAACTGAGTACGAAATCAAGTATGTTTTGTATGAGATAGAAATAAACAGTGGTATCCATACATAATGCACATTCTTAATGCTCCACTGAAATGATCATGCGCTTTTAAAAGATGTTGCTGAGATTCAAGACGAGCATTGATGGTATGTGATTAGGTGTGATACAGAGGCAATAGCAATGGGACTCAAAGAGAATGAACAAATAAAACTGTCCGGAAGCTTGAGCAAGCTATGCGGGCTCTCATAGCAACCGACAGAACAAGATCATTACTTAATGTTTTTGTAACTTTTGATATTTATGAACAATTTTTCACTCAGTATCATTGTACTAGTGATGAATTTGCTGAATTACCAACTATATCTGTATTTTATTGAAGACTACTGTGTGTCATCAATCAACCATTATGCGAATGAATGTTTGAGTTGGAATTCAGCAACATGAATAAACCAAGAAATTTAGTGCAAATTATGGTTAATAATAACGATAATAAACGTGATGATAATAACAATAATGAAATAATTTTCAAGCATATTCGAAACACTGAATATTCACATGTTGAGTAGTAGGAACGTTTCCGCCTCTGTTAGTTTATTAAACCAATTTCAACATGAAAAGACAGACATATCAAAGACGTTTATTTTCTTGAACAACATGGTCTACTTCTACTTCACTCAACTGTTTTTAATAACCTTAAGGAATATTCAATGAAGTTATACATTTGATCAACAGTAAAACGTATAAATTCAGAACAGTGGGCTACGATGAGTTTAATTGTCATAGTCTCTTGTTTTGTGTCGTGAAAACACGAGTTGCGTGAAAATCATATGAGAATGAATTAGTGATGGAACACGTGATTGATAGTATTATATAGGTACTCAATTGCTGGACAGTGATGACACATGAATATCTCTGTCCCTCTAGAGGTCACTTATCGTTTGAATATCGCAGTAGTTACTCTTCATTGTTCAAAATTGAGTGATATGAGTTTGAATCACACGGGTAGTATAGGTTTTTTCGGAAGTGAGAGTAAATCTCACCGATTTATACCAACTCGCTTCAAGAACGCCTGCCGAAAGACTACAAACAATGAATATCAATCAAAGTATCCCCTCGTAAACATTAACTATGTATACAGTTTTGAAATTGAGGATGCTGACATAGGCAGCAGGCTATATAAATCTTCATCTACGATTGCTTACTTATGTAGAAACTCATTTTGATTCTGCTGCAAAATTAAGAAGAATTTCAATACCAAATATATTTCTAGACGTATTCTATGTTTTGCGAAATTCGATCACCTACATCTCACGATGATATCCAACTTCAATCAATACTTAACACAAACGTACATTCGGTCAACAGTCATATGCATCTATACAGAATATCGGGTATCGATCAATTTATCTGTCACACTGAATGATATAAAACGATACACAGAAGGTCATGAGGATTATGTCATCGATCATCTTGATCACAGTCTCATAGAAAATATTCATGTGACTTATTAACTAGTCGCGTCTAAAATCATCAGAATTATTACTGATAGTTCCATAGATTTATGAACTGCGGACGTACAAAATAGACAATTCTATAAGAACGCCTTCACTAAACTTATTTGAAATCAGATGGTAAATGGAATCAGTGTTTATTCATAGCTAAATCAATACTTCCTGTAACCTGAAGGACAACCTACTCGTTTTCACTTCAGTTTCTCTTTAGAAAAATAGTACTCATCTGTAAAATAGAAATTTTATTCAACTTTGTTCCGTGGGCGTAAATGACTGTAAGTCATATAAAAGCATCATTAGTAAGTGACATTCCTTATTATAATCAAGATTTATATCAGGCACATTACACAAAAGAGAAAATCATATAATTTTGATTATTTAGATAGAACATGGTGATAAACAACATAGAAGTACATACATTGACGTTTCTACAAACAACAACTGAGGTCAACAGACTGGCGTCACTTTAAAATCACACTCTCAAAGAGTGTACACTGATAATATCATCATTATTTTTTATTTTTAGAAGAATATTTCTTATGAGTAAACGCATATTAGATTAAATGTACTGAAATAGTAGATGTGATGATTATATGTGATATACAGACACATATTCCCTACTGAATCGTGAAGGTTCAATAGAAATTCAAGAGTACATATGAAGCACGTGTTGTGTTCCAGTCGAATTATTACTGTTCATACAGGATAATATGATCGTGATGGACAGCGTTATCTTCTTGGTCACCTGAGCTATATGTTTCAGGTGTCGAACAGATGATGGTGTCGAGTAAAATAGTGATGCAGAAGGTGAGTGTACATTATTATAAAAGAGAGAATACAAAAAAATATAAACAAATAAAACAGCAAACAATCAGCGTCAGATAATATGGAACTGAAATCACATAGCGCCTTCTATCTGACAAATACCATTTATCACAGTCATTACACATAGGTTTAAATACATGCTTTTCAGCTCATCACCAATTGTGCCTACAGTGCATATACGGGTCAATATACATTTAGGCGGTTCCAAGCATCTGTTGATCGTTGAAAATTCACTGATTGAGTTGCTTGCTAGAAAAAAACGTTCAAAATACTGCAGAATACAGTGGGTTATGGATAATCTGGATAGTGTGTTTTCCAAAATCTCAGCTGTCATAAGTAAGTTAGTAAGTACGCAAGCAAGTCATTAATACACTTGAACTTAATGAGCAGTGTTTTTAGTCTTGTTCAGCTTGTTTATCCAGACGTAAATATTTCCGAAATCTATTAACAGTCAGCAGTGTAAAAGGATGGATAAATAGAATGGATGTGGTCTTGTTCACAAGTTGCCATTTCATATTAAAAGACTTATGTAATCGTTTGACAGAATGTGTTTATTGAAATAAAGTTCAAATGTGAATGTGTAACGTTTCACATCCAACTTGAACAGTTTGTGCTACTTTTGTTTTAATCAATCCAATCAAGATGGTGCACTATTAAATGTCAATTAACAGATTATTACAGACAACAAACTGTTTGTCCGTGAACATATGAGCAGATCTTTTGAACTACAATCTAACCAATCGTTGATTATAAATTAGTGTCAATCACATCCATGTTAGGTTTCATCAGTAGGGGTCAGGAATTTCAAAGAACTGTGGATACATTTCAGCCCAAGTTATCAACAGCCAGAAAAATATTGAATAAAGATGGGCTCATTTACGTCTATGATTGGTTAACAATGAACATACGATTTTGCCACGTATATTCATCTTAATGGTCAGTTTGAATCATCGAATCAGTAGTAAACAACACTACACTTCAAAATTCTATATAAACCTGACACATTCTATTCAAATATGACCTACAACTTTGAACAAGAAGATGAGGTGAGTGTTGACTGAACATACGAACTCAAATTGAAAATCGACACAATGAGATAACGTTGTTTATTTCATCTGAACCATTTTAGATACAACATTTTATCTTTTCAAATCATGCCACTAATTCTAACTGTCGTCTGGCTTAACGAGTTCTTCAAATGCCAAGATATCTGTGAACAACGTGAATTGGAAAAATTAATTTCTGAAAATAGTTCATATCTATATGTAAGTAATCAGTTTGATCGTTATACACATACTCAGTCTCAGCACTATATGTACTTACAGAGCATCAGAATGAATCAGTATCAGCCAGCTGTGAGTATAAGTTCAAATAAACACAATAGACCTTTCGTGAGTTTAATACATTTTGTAATGGGGTTACTTGTGACTATGTTTACATCTTTTTAGGAAGTTAGTCCGAAACTGTCGTTTAAATATTACAGTATTCAGGTCAAACGTTTCTATATTCTTCCTTTTGGTAAGTCAATAACTTTCTTTCATCTCAAATTATAACATAATTTTCTTGATCACATTTCTGTCCGTGAATCCAAGTTGATTCCATTTCTTTATTGAATTAGTTTTATACCCCTTGAGACATGCAAAAGTACTTCGGATAAACCTTCTTGTTCAAATTGTGTCGATGGTGTGATGCCTTTTAGCAATCCAGATGCAGTTCATGCAATTCATTTAAGTCTTCAATCTATTTCATTCAATGTAAAATAATCAATCATATTTCATGTTTTCAATTAATAAATACAGGTGCCATAAGTATTTATGGAGATGATTACGTCGGATATATATCAGCTTTTAAAACACCCGATATTTCTCCCCAGTTTGAGATTTTGAATGAAAGTGAGTTCTTGTATTATTTAGTTATAATGTGTTTCATCACTTATTCTCACACTTCATTTGGCATACATTATTGTCTATTTTAATTGAGTATTACACAAGAGCATATCAACACACGATGATTGTTTTGTTTGTGTGATTGTCGTACCAGAACATGTGTGTTTCACAACACCTTTTGATTACTATCATGTGAAAAGATTAAACAAAACAGAGATTCATCTCAAAATAGAAACACATTGGAAGAGTAGAAATGACAAAACAAGTGATCTTGTAGTCCAAGTGCCAATTACCAACTCTTCAGTCTATCCAAACTACAAGATAGCAGACATCGACATCGACACGATGCATCTTTGTAGACTAAATTAACCGTACTTATCATATGTGCAACAATAAGCGATGTTGTGAGAGAAGTTAATTTGGATTATTGAAACCTATGAACCATCAAATCATATTTCATGTCTTCCAATGCTTTTCTAGCACTGACTTTATTCATACATGTCTAATGCCTTTGAGTTGCCGTTTGTTTACCATCGAGTTCTGGAATCGATCTCTGCAATCACATTCGTGCTATTACCAAATTTGAATTCAGGCACTTCATGAAACAGATGAGCAATCAAAGATAAATCATATTCTGCTATCCTAAGATGGTTAACTCAAACCAGAACAACCTAGGACACCAAGGTTGCAAACATCCGTTTTTGTTCGGTTATCAGAATTGATTAGCAACAGAATCTCAAAAAATGTTATTATGTGGGTATTGTCAGTTAGATATTAAAGGTCTGTACCACAGTCTAAAGCCCCTACAACAGATGCTACGGAAGTAAAATATTCTTCTTATTTGGATTGGTTGAGACATTTATCATACAGATGAAGGTGATAATATTTATCGAAGTTTCGTTATGGGAAATGCTTGAGTATCTGTGTACATCGGTTCAATCATTCTCAGAATGAAGATTATAACTTACATGCAAATGTAGTCCGTGTTAATACATTCATTTATTGAAACAGATAGATATTCATTATGCAGATATTTAAACATCCATTTTTATTTTCATTATTTCAGACGAATTATTTGCTGTCAGATGGTTTATTAATCAAGAAGTTGATGGTAAACGTAAGTCAACACATGTGGAATCTAAACACTTACATCTTCATTCCATATGATTATTCATAGGTTGTCAGTGTCAATTAGTCTCAGAAACTGAAAATGTAGGAATTTGTCACTTTTCAGAGAAATGAGGGTACAATTATTTGTAAAAATCCAATCATCGTCTGATGATGTTGAATAAGATTTGAAGAATAGTTGATGTGATCTGGAAATGATTAAGGTTGATGAGTAAAATACAGATCACTATGGTGGATAAATTAGGTCACAATCTTATTTCACTTGTGTGGAAAGGAATTCAGAGATTCGTTGACGTTGACAGGCTTGAATTGAATTTGATGATCAGTTTTAGTTTTGAAAATAAATACATTGGGTTGTATGTTTGTCACAAAGTCAGTTCTATACACAATAGATTCATCGACCCATCCATTGATCAGATAGTAATTCCTATGCATCGACATTTTAAAAATATCCGTAATACCATCTATCTAAGGCTATTCGTTTCTCATCTACAACAAATAAACACTATGGTCGTATTCAGTTGATCGATTGAAATATCACGTAAACAATTAAATCCTCAGGTGCAATATGTAAGTAAACACTCCAAATCTTATGTCATGTGTACTCAGTCTCGATTGTTTTTCACGAGGCATTCAAGAATGCATATCGCATACATATGAATACTTCATTGACCATCGAATTTTAATGGAATAATTACCAATTGAATGTTTCAATAATAATACAAAATATGGTTACTTTGTGAGCTAATTTATACAATGTTACATCTACCAATAAATTATTCATTGACTTTGCCCAAGTTCTAAATATCGATGGTTTTCTAATTATAGAGTTAACAGCCAAGGTAACTTGGCTAATTCATCCGAATGGGAAGATAGTTTTCTATTATGATAACGTAAGTTGCACCATTGAATACAAATGTAGTTTTGTTTCAAGTACTTCAGATTACTCAACTATTTCATGTTTATGAATACTGTCAAATATATCTAGTTACATCGACCACGAAGGGAATGTATCAACAGTCTGTAATGTGTAAACAGAATATTTGACACTATTATTCAACTTTGATGACACACCTTACTCAAGCACTTGTTTAAGACAGTGAATAATTAGAAGTGACTCACTTCATTTTCATCTAGAAGGTTGTGCGTTGAGAGATCTTGACTCAAACTATCAACAATTTCTTTCAGATTTCATCGGAAATTAAAGGAATTCAATGGGAAACGAAAATCGTCGCTTTCTTCAGTTGTAAAGCAAGTAAGAAATATTTCAACGAATGATGTCAGCACATTGATGTCTGGTTACTCACATCATCAGGCATCTATTTGTGTTATATTACTTTCTGTTTTTACCCTGGTTATCAGCACGTCAATACAGAACATTCCTTTATTCTATCACAGTGATCTAATTTAGTTTTCTTACAGTTTACGTTAAAGATTTGATTTGCTTGTAAAATCAACTGATATAAATGTCATTGAAGTGTTGTGGATAATTGTGCAAAATGAAATTGATATGCGTCTTGTAAAAGTACTGTTCAAATGTTATTGAATGTTGAACATTCAACGTTAGATCAATGTTCACACTCCTTGTAAGAGAATTGCAGTCTCACAACTGACTGTGAATGACAGTGTAAGCTAATTGTGAAAGTGTTTGATATTTGCGACTAGGGCTTTCGAACATAGAACCACTATTATCGAATGAATTGAAATTCAAGTTTATATGTATTCAAATCAACAACTATCCTACTTGATGATGCCACAGAAATGATCCAAAGTGAGATCGTTATGGTGTCAGTTCAGCTTTCTGGGATATGCTTTACCGATAATTTATTTCACTGTCTACAAATGCTTATACTCACTTAACCAGATATATTGAGTAAAGCAGCCAAGGTGTATGAATGTATTTATCCCTAAAGCGGGAATGGCTATTTTGATGCGGCTCAATCTTATGGTTACCGATTGACGCATTTGGACGAGGACATACGAATGACGAAATTAAAGAAATGATATTTACACTCATTTATTCTTTAACTTACGGTATACAAGTCACACTTTCAGTCCGCAATCTCCACTCAAAATGAAGTGTGTATTGTATGAAACAGAATTAAATGAATGGTACTGGTTGGTCATTGATCGATTTTGATGTACATTATTAAATTTTAGTCATGCTAGATAATCAGTAACTTATCTTATAAGGGAGATTTCCCAGTTCCTTGTTTAGACCATGACTTAAATGTTGCAAATAACCTGTTGTATTTATAAACGAATTCCAAATTTTATGTGTCCTTTCTTGTTTATCATATCATACAAGATTTAGTAGCATCTGAAATAACTACTCCTTCAATATGGATCAAAAGTGGCACATTGATGGAATATGAAGCTGTCAAAAGTATGTTAAAACTTATATAATTAGCGATAACTATTTTCACACTTAAAAACACTACTTTTATTTCAACGATTTGAACATTCCATGTATAATTTTATTCAACTACCAAATGATATCGAGCCATCTATCCCGAATGGCATTTCACATATCATTAATAAATACACAACGATTCTTTTGTTGAATGATGAAAAGGATTCAAAATCCAATTTGAACCAATATTGAAGTCATCATTTTGATCAAAAATTGACTTGACCACAAAAAAACAAAACGATATATGAGATGATGTTAGTTTTGAATAAAATTAAGTGTCCGTGAGTTGATTGTGCGTTGACGACAAAGTGTCCGTAGTTTCCGTTGGTACATGCGAAATGAAATCTTGCTGAGGTATTGAATTTACGCAAAACTTTACGTAAATGAGAATACTTTGGAATGGATTGCCTAGTTTCTGAAATCTTTGCTTTGTCATACATATACGATAAATTGAAGGTATGGTTAAGTCACGTCTACAAATTACAATTTATCATAGCCAATTTGAGAATTATTTCCACATAATAAAATGTATACCTTCTCATAAATATGTGCATTAAGTAACTATAAAAGTCAAAAAACAACTGAATTACTTGAACTGGGTGCATTCATAAAACTGATATTATCTAAGGAAGCTGTACAACAATGAAAAATTCAGTGTAACGTGCCTTGCCGAGTCCACTGACAGCATCGTTCGTGCATGTCTGAATGTAAACAGATATTGAAATCCATCGTTCATAGTTGACATTCGACATAGTTTCATTCAATTCAATCATGTTGTCGCGAAACATGATTGAAAATGATGACACACTGAATGTTTCATTATGCATCGTAGTGACAATTTTCCAGTGAGTGAAATAGTCACTTAACGCCGAAATCACCATTATTTTATTGGGTTATGGTTACATGTTTTGTAATTCACTTACCTTCTGTTTGGTAACTTGAAATTAAATCATCTCATTCTTTTCACAGACTATTGTCCAAAACACACTTCAGCGGATGCATGCCAAAGGGCAACAAAATCGGATATAAATTGTATTTGGTGTGATAAAGCGAACATATGCATTGATGATACTGACCAGGATGCTCATAACACGAAAGTTAATAACTGCCATTCTAAGGTTAGTACTTCTAAATCTTCACACGTCAATTCCAATATTGGAAAATTACACATTTCGTGTACACCCATTCACTCGAAGGAACATCTTTTTTCTTTACGAATAAAAAATAACTTGTACACTACCCTCAATGACTAAATTGAAGTTTGGTATATGCTGACGTCAACTAATCACATATCAGTAACATGCTCTCTTTCTATGGAATGAGTAAACAATGGATCGAAGCGTCTCTTTACACTAATACTTGAAAAAATAATATTTTAGCTCATTGAAAGTGTGGTTATTTTGGAAACCGCATATCAATGTGGATTGTCGCAAAATACCGATGAAACTAATTTGATTAGAGGAGCGTAACCTAATGGGACTTGTGTGTCCTGTTTTGATAATAAGTGGAAGTAGACTCCATTGTTGAAGTTCAGAACAAGGATTTCTGACTCTCTGCTGAGTAATATGTAACCTGGTTACATTACTTTGATTTGAAAAAAATCAATTTTCGGGTTATTGGTTTATATTCAGATTGTGATTAGATACGACATTCGAAACACAAATTTCATCACCCAATTGAGTCGTCTATTACTTTCAGAATGATGTGTACTCAGCCTACAGACTGTCAAGTCGGTAGTAAATGTTCTAAATGATTGTACAAATGCAAATTAAGTAACGATTTGTTGAATATTATTCTATTATCAGTGCTGTCAATTGTGCATAATGATTACTGAATGAATTGAGCAATATTTCACGTTTGATAATGAATGCTTTTGTTTCGTTTATTAATCAGAACCCAGATGTGAATGATTTGAGTAGACAAACGCCCACCAAACACATTGAAACAGCATCGAGCGCTGGTGAATTTCCGGTTATAGAACACCTTAAGAAAACTACAGAAAAAACTGATCAACACTCGGTAAATATTTGATATTTAGTAATCAATACTGTTATTTTGTTTTTCTTCAAAAAATGGCTAGTACAATACTCCCAATGACTAAATTAGAGTACATATGAGTACCATGCTTTCTTTCTATGGAATGAGTAAAGAATGGATCGAAGCGTCCCTTTACACTAATACTTGAAAAAAATAATATTTTAGCTCATTGAAAGTGTGGTTATTTTGTAAACTGCATATCTATGTGGATTGTTGCAAAATACTGATGAAACTAATTTGATTAGAGGAGCGTAACCTAATGGGACTTGTGTGTCCTGTTTTGATAATAAGTGGAAGTAGACTCCATTGTTGAAGTTCAGAACAAGGATTTCTGACTCTCTGCTGAGTAATATGTAACCTGGTTACATTACTTTGATTTGAAAAAAATCAATTTTCAGTTTATTGGTTTTTATTCAGATTGTGATTAGATACGACATTCGGAACACAAATTTCATCACCCAATTGAGTCGTCTATTACTTTCAGAATGGTGTGTACTCAGCCTACAGACTGTCAAGTCGGTAGTAAATGTTCTAAATGATTGTACAAATGCAAATTAAGTAACGATTTGTTGAATATTATTCTATTATCAGTGCTGTCAATTGTGCATAATGATTACTGAATGAATTGAGCAATATTTCACGTTTGATAATGAATGCTTTTGTTTCGTTTATTAATCAGAACCCAGATGTGAATGATTTGAGTACACAAACGCCCACCAAACACATTGAAACAGCATCGAGCGCTGGTGAATTTCCGGTTATAGAACACCTTAAGAAAACTACAGAAAAAACTGATCAACACTCGGTAAATATTTGATATTTAGTAATCAATACTATTATTTTGTTTTTCTTCAGAACATAACTACCGACGTAAACAAACAGAATCTAGTGAAGAAATCATCCTCGTCCTTGTATATTGTGATTCCTTTGATCATCATTTTTGTTGGTGTATGTGTTGGCTTTATAATTTGGAGATGGCTACATAAAAGAAACAGAAGTGAAGAATGATTCTCAGAAATGTCTTATCACTTATTTTTATTATTCCAAATTGTTTACATTTAGTACTTCTTTAGAACACTTTCCATATTCAATTATTCATTTCAATAGTTTGGACAATTTCTTAATGGAATTATGTACATTCTTATGATTGTTTACGTAATAATTTGTGTAATCTTATTGACAAAATATAGAACATGATTTTTATTATTTGCGTAATTGTCTTCATTGAAGAGAAACTCTGTAGTGTTAAATAAATCCCCAAAATAAATAGCTCTGTAAGCTTTCGACATTCGATGCCGACAACATTTATTTTTAATGGACTCACCGAGCTGAAGGCGATAGGTCATGCATCCGCACCAGATCACGAGTGGAAACGCCTTGCTCAACAAACCCTGCAATCACTAGCCAAATTACATCAGACGATCTTCGATATATTGATAGCCTATCAAATATATCTTCGAACCTCCTTGCTTATGTCTTTTGATTTCACTTGGAAGGTTTTAGCGGATAAAATATATAGTCAAACAACAACTACCTGTGGCATCTACAACTGACTTGATCGCGAGAGTTTGGCAACATTTTGTTTTCAAATTAGTAATACTGTGTAAACGTGATTTTATGATAATTGCAATCAACAATGAGTCTGTTTTGAATGTTTATTTCCAATAAAATCTCACTATTGAAAAATATCATTTGGAATTAACTACAGCCTTTGTTTTAAACTGAGTGACCGTAATAGCTTATGAATACAAAAGTAGGCACTTTTATTATTCGTTATTTGAATACTTAACGTACAGCAAAATTTAGGCGACAAACTATTGTTAACTCGATGTTGTCAAAACTGATTATGATTCCTTCCATGATATTGTTGTTGTCACGGACGGTATATGGCCATTTATTTCATTCAAAGCCTGGTCTATAGATAGGTCTAATCTAATGTTTTGATTAAAGAATTGACAGCTGTGTGTGTCAAGTGCTGTGGAAGGATAAGAATTCGGCGTTGCACATTGATTTCCAGTTTTAGTGGGCACATATACATCACAGTTGGCTCTAATGATGCTATTTTATTCGACGTCATTGTTCTGAATTAAGCAACGTTGCTCATTAAGGAATATTTATCTACGGATTATCATTGAAAAACTTTCATCATTTTTGTCAATGATCGCCACTGTTTATGATCTGTTGAAACACATCTACTTAATATTATGTTAAGATTGAACTCCAGTCAGATTTCAGGAGAGATTGCAGAGCCCAGTCATGTGCATTTGTTTGTCAGGTTGATTTCTGTTTTTGTGGTCAGCAATAAATATCGTTTGATCAAAGACTTACATCTGTCCTCCGTCATCTGCTTGAGATAAGATGTGTCGATAGTCTGAGTTGATGTTCATTTTGTGTATTTCGTTCCAAATATTTTGTTGATGGTTTTGATTTCAAACTTGATATAATGCGACTATCTCAACTTGTAGGTGAACCATCTCCGCAAACTCCGACACACCTACACTATAATAGACGCTCTTCAATGCTATTCCCCCTTTATTTTTCACTTGTCTTATCGTGTCAGTTCTATTTTGAATTTTATTATTCAACTCCATTGTGTGAGAACACGAGTGTTCCTTTACACATTCACTAAAAATTCTCTAAAGTCATGTTGTACTTTAAATTCACTCACCTACGGTATATTTTGTACTTAGTACCTTGAACTTTGGTGTGGTTTCAAGACAATAATCAATACTTCAGATGTATACCAATGCGTATGAAAATATGTTGAAACTCTAATCTGAAACATGGGTAACCGAACGTTTTCCAAGCATTACTGATTGTCCATAAGCTATTATGAAATTTTGGCCTAAATAATCACGCCGTTAATCCATTTTGTTATATATAATTGTTTTTAATAATCCCCATTCAGGACTGTGAGAGTACTTATCAGTGTTGTTTTAGCGTTGCTAGTCAGGGTTTCAAATTCCAGTATTTGTGATCATCACATGCAAGCTCTCACGGTCAACTCATACAAAATCACAGAGAACTGAATGTTACCAACAGATAAGCGGCAGATATCTCTGTGTACGAAATGATGCACAGTTTTTGCCAATCGTCGGTTTTCTCGAAACGCCAAATAACCTTTAACCACTGTTAATTTGCAGTGGAGTTTATTTCTTTTTTTTATGCAATCAATTATCAAAATTATAATGAAATCATTTTTGCTTTTAAACTAAGTATTGAATATCAATGAAAAAATCCAACTAAATTCATCATGAGAAATAAACGTAACTCTATTTGTTGGACCATCTATATTCGCAGGCACTAGAAGACTTTTCGAAAAAACACTGTCGGAATCAAATGCGTGGAACTCATTTGCCTGTCACAATACATGTTCGCCATAACTCTGATGTGAGCAGATGAGATGCATATACCCGTCTGACCACAAGAATTCAATTTATTCCACGGATGAACCTACAACAATTAATAAGTAATCTGCATATTATTACAACACTCATTCCAGAAGCTTGACTGCATCCGCTTATCCACAAATCAGTGGGATCATCACTCCTTTCAAGATCACTTGGAATCATTTATTACCAGTAAATTAGCTTGAATTCTGAAAGATTTGCTTGTTTTTCGATTATATTTTATGAATACAGTCTGATGTCTACCTAAAATCAGTATTTGAAACATTCTCTATTTGACGTCTAGACATTTTGATGTGACAACCGAACTCATACGCTATTGTAAGGAAATTTGATCGAAATCAAATATTCGAGTCGTAAACTACAGATCGTCTTATCGGTTCACACTGAATGAATAACGTTCTTTTCCAATCAATATTGAGTGTTTCATTTTCTTCACAAGATGGTGTTTATCTGCACTCGTATATTCGTAAATCCTAATTTACAATTCTATTTCCATACTCTAACAATTCGATGACTGAAATGAACGTCGATGGCACATACAATGGATTTAATGACGTACGCTTATTTTTACATACAATTTTTGATCCACAACCAGTGGATCACGAAACAATGACAAGATAAATGATGAAAGAAAACAGGACGTTCAATGAAAGATTTCTGTTCAGAAATGTTGTCGAGCAAGGAAATGTAAATATTGACAAAATATTTAGTTCAGTTATGGTGGTGAACTCAATACAAAGGTTAAAATTATAGTGTTTCAAGAGTCGATTATACTTTTATATCATCTTTACAGAGAACAATTCATCATAACACTTAAATAACAAGCAAAGAACAAATGACCATGTCACCACCTGTAACAGACACGATTAGAGATTTCAAGTTCATTGCCGGAAGTACTTTATTTCGCATTAATGTTCATAATGACATGGCAATGTTGATTAAATTCAGGTGAACTACATTTTAAAGCACTTGAAACTGAACTGAAGGACAGATGATTTTATTTAGTCTATTATATAACAGTTTGTACCAGAGTATATCAAACGTTCATGAATTCACAGGTGTCTTAAAAAAAAAAGTTAACTCCCACTTCGTATGTTAGTACGTATATTTGTTAAGAGCTCAAAATTCCTTTTACGTTCTGTGCATACTTATACGATTAGTATTGATAATCATATTGAAGTATGGAAACTATTTCAAACAATTGATAAAACGTGCTGTAACCATAGTTTAAAGAAATAGCAGACATTGAACATTCATTGTCATAATCTGCCTATTTGATTGGACAGAATGTACATAAGTCTTGTACTGCCTAATCAGCCTTCAGAATCTCTTTAATGGTTATCAATTATCACTAACTGTAACGTACACTTTTTGGTCTCTTCACTTGAATCATTTTACCATCCACAGTTTGATCATACATATGGCATATTACAACAGAACCAATAAGATATCATGGTTGAATAATTCATTTGCTCTGAAGATAGAAGACATACAAACATAATCATCTCAACATATAGAAAACAATGAAATGTTTTAAAGTATGATCAAATGAAACGTTTCTTTTAAGCTGCGTGGAGAATATGAGTTTGATGAGTTTGATAAAACATGACATTCTGCAAAATACGGAATTGGATTCTTCTAATATCTATTTCATTTGCATCATTCGTTCAACTATTGAATCGATTACAATTTGTCAATATCTTTAATAGTTTAAATATCGGAAACAGTGTCCAGTAAAATTTTACTGATTTTATCCCAATATTCTACGGGTATTTTCAGTCAATTAAGTTTGCAAAATACTTAGTCGACAGAAAATGGTTTGAAAATGATGAATTGGATAAGAGACGGATGATTTGCAGTCCAGATCACCAAAGAGACTTTTAAAACAATCATAACATAAGTGACAATTATCTTCAATGTTGAGGGATTCAATAACGCACTTCAACCGATCATTCATGTTTATGTTGTGATCATGCACTTTTACTACAAGAAGTGTAAATATTCAATTGACGTTAAATATACACTATTCAGTAACATTTAGACAGTGTGTATACAAATAATTTCCCAAATTCATTTCACACAATTGTCTACAGCGCATCAATGACCATTTCATCAACTCATTTTACTCACAAAACAAATGCTTAATGTAGACTGTTAGAAATTTATGTTAAATCACTGTGATAGAATACAGAGATATTCTGTGTTGACTTGTTGACAACTTGGTAAAAACGGAATGTAATAAAAAGATAACAGGAGACTATGGACGTAGAATACTTAACATCAAATGATTAATAACATTAATTTGTTAAATTACATTAGGAATGTGAATAGAAATATTTAAATTCTGAGTTCAGATCTGTCGACACACGAACACCTTTTATCAAAATAAATCAATCATTGAAGTGAT